TGCAATCACCTGCTAGCACGACTGACGAGGTTTTCCACTTGGTACGACCAAGCGACCGACTTCCGGTCTACAATCTTGGCCATATACATAGATGCCAGAATTAATGGCGGAAAAAGAACCGACGCAGCGGCAGTCCACGCCAGGATGATTACATGCCAGGCGGACTCATCCTGCTGCGTCTGCCAGAAATCCGTCCCCCACAGATAATGGCACACAGCCTGCAGGATGCGATTGCGCATGACCATGATGAATAAAGGATGAAACAGATACAGTGAGAAAGAGATCATCCCGAGGAATTGGGCCAGACGAGTCTCTAGCGGAATTCGCAGGAATCGAAGATGTCTGAGCGTTCCAACAACAAGGATCGCCCCAACAGCGTGCCATCCCCGGATGCGGATCTCGGGATCTACATAGAACGGTAGCTTGAGGGAGGATTGAAACGAGAAGTCAGGTGGAAAATTTGAGTCTTGTGGGAGGCACAACAGGTAAATCCCGCTCACAAAGAGGAGGCCGGTGAGGATATTTGCACAGTTTCTGACAAGGGTGGTCGGCTTTCTCTTCTGCCCAGCCATCAATGAATCCCGGGACGCTTCACGTAGTATATCGAGTTCCGCAAACCCGAGACCAGCAAGAAAGGCTGATAATATAGGTGAGCCGAACCACATGAATGCGACGCTCAGGCAGGTGATTGCCACCAGCCGTACCATAGGTCTGACGGATGCAAGGCCGAGTAGGACCAGATAAACCGCCAGTGAGCATTGGTACTCGTATGAGATTGTCCACAAGTGGAAATTATACCCTGTCACATAGAACGGTCCACTTAGTTGAAGAGTCGTCAGGAAGGTCATGGTAAGACAACTGAGATGAGGTTGCAGCGCTGACCAGGGCTGTGCTCCGGGACAGCCCTCCTGATCACCCGGCGTCCAGTCAATCAGACCCATGTAATAAGCCAAATGGGAGATGAGGCAAAGGATCAAAACGGGAATGTAAAGTCGGAAACCACGGCGAAAGACGGAAGATGTAAGTTTTCGATAGAACTGAGCCGGGGCATCATCACGGAGACGTATGATAGAGGTCGACACGGCATAGCCTGAGATGACAAAGAAGACAAGAACCATTGACTGCCCGGCAAACAGTAAGCGGAACGGCGGTAACTGGAAGAAGCGGCGATTTTCAGCGGCGGGGACAGCCCAGAATGATCGATAGGGAGCTCTCATTTCTCCCACCGTGAAGTGGAACCAGGCGACAATAGCCGCAGCCATGCCTCGCAGGCCATCCAGCCAATTTTGTCGAGCTTTGGCCGAAGCTGCTGATGTCATATTGAGTATATGACGGGAATTGGGGAACGTACTTAGAGTAAGGAGGATCAGGTGTGCTGTAATACTTTGGTCGAGTGGGGGGTTTAAGAAGCATGGCCGAGGTGCAGCCCCGACAACTCGGACTCCTGCCACGGCCGATCTTGCATTGAGTCGGCAAACAGATCCTACCTATTAAGTAACAAAGCAGTGTGGTACCTAGCATATCCCGACATTGGATCACAAGGTTAGTGACATTCTTCGTGATACGACGGGTATGTGAAGATCCCGGAGATGATGCTCCGTAGTCCGACGGGGAGCCATCCGATACCAAATCCCGAAGCCACTAAACCCAGGCTGCATCAATCGTGGCGACCAGCATGATCTATCTGCTAGTGATAAGCACTAACCTATCAGCAGGGTCTGGATACGAGGTAAATAGTAGAAACCCCGCAGCTTATGCAGATCACAGATCTATCATCTTCCTCGTCGTATATCGGTGTCCTCGGCACATCGTCAACGGGTTCTTGCGTAGCCAACCAGATTGCTCAAGATGCCTCTGTCCATGTTGTTAGGGTCACTTCGGACAGAAGTGATTCCTTTAGAGGCTTAGCAAATATCCAAATATATTAATATATTAACGTGGATATAGGCAATGAGCCATATTGGAACACGAAGGAGTTAGACAAGATGGAAAGACGTACCTGCCGCATCCATTGCTGGTTTGGGCGTAGTTTCCGGGATAGATGATGCCCTTACCCAATCCCAATGAATAATTGTTGTTGGCTCAGAATCACGGTTGGCGACTGAAATACCGGAGGAGGTCAGAACTCGTGAACCCATATACTGATCAGATGTGGAAAATCGTAGCTTCCACCGAGTTGGATGAGTATGATTCCCTTGGCCTTGACAACTCATTCACTAACGCTTATGTGATAACCAGTGTACAGGTACTAAAACACAGGATGCAAGTTTGCTACCTGCGGCCGCCTGAAGACCGCGTAGATTGTCCCAGCATGGGCCGATCGTTCACACGGCAAGTTCCATCACTGCCATATGCAGGGACTGCGCAACAAAACATCACCATCCTGCCAACATGAAAGGATGGTAGGATGCATTGGCATCAGCACTAAGTTGACACGCCATGAGCCGTCAAGACTGAGTGCTGAGGCTCATGACTGTTCTAGACATTGTGGTTAGCATTGCCACCTGGACCATGGCCAGGCAGTGACTCAAATCACATATATTGCAACGAAGAGGGTAGGACAAGTTTTGTATTACGCTTGAGAGAATACTTTTTTCTTTGGCGCTTTTTCGGTCTCACGGCCTGAACCGTTTTGTGCTATTAAGAGACTTACATTTTTCCATCATGTATTACCTACCCAAGCCGTTGAAGCCACACAGTGGCATGGGCTCCGGTCAGCGGTTGGTGCCCCTGGCCGAACGAACTCTCAACTTCCTTGGTTGTATTGTTGCGGCCGCGGTATACTTCTATGGCTTGATGTATCTTAAGCAACCCTTGACCTTTGACATGATAGTCAGTATAATTCTGGCCGAGTATTGTCGATGGAGAAACAACAAGAGACGCAGAGATGCAGCTCTACAGGAAGAGAACGGTAGCCTTGGCCTTGCTGAGAAGGGCAAGTCAAGCGAGCAGAGGTTGGACTGCGTTGCTGCTATTGTTGGGTATAGGGAGGAGCCTATCCTGTGGAAACAGGCATTGGGGAGCTATTCGCAAGCCCAGAATTGCAGGTTCCTTCTTGTATGTATCGACGGGGATGCAGAAGAGGATCGTGAGATGGTTGAAGTCTTTCAAGATGTAGGTGATCATCCTCTGTCTCTGTAATAGTTTATTAACATTCCTTGGCCAGGTTTACACGGAAAAGTCTGCATTGATGCATCTAGATATCCCTTTAGCAGAGATTGCCATGCAGATGGATCGAGCAAGATCCTCCAAGACAACCGATGCTGAGATTATCGCTCAATGCTGTTCCGTCGCCAGAGCAGCTCTCGAGAAGAGTGGTATCACTCTGGTCGGCGAGAACGGGATTTCTAAACTGTGTGTTAGTCAGCCGCACATGCACAAGAAGGGAATCATGTTCACCTCCTTCATAATCTCCTTGGTGGTCTCGGATATCCTCGACATCGAATTCTTATGGACATCCGATTCAGACTCAATTGTGATGCCCGATACATTAACGCGTACGATGGCAACATGTGCTGCAGATCCGGGAATTGGGGGTGCTAGCACGGCACTCACCATTCACAACAAAGATGAAACCGTCATCACACAGCTTGGAAACGCGGTCTACCTGAATGAATTGTATCTGGCACGTTCCTTTACTGGCGCTGTTGCTGCAAATGACTGCCAAAGTGGACCATCTGCTGCTTTTCGGTTTTCTGCAGTCAGTGGAGAGTTGCTGGCCTGGTACAAGCAAAGTGTGTTCGGGCATTGGATGGTGAGTATTCCACGCCATGATATCAGCATAGACTGACCGTGCAGGTTGTGAACGAGGATCGACATTTGACCACACGTCTCCTTCTGAAAGGTTGGAGAGTGGTTTTCGCATCCGACGTCATGACTGCCACTGAGTCACCCACAACATTCAGGAGGTGGCTATTGCAGCAGGTATGTGTCCAAACAAATGTGCCCCGGCCAAATGATAAGGCATCATTCTAATATGCTCAGGTTCGCTGGGGCCGAGCTGTGCACGTCGAGAGTTTCCACCGACCGAGCGTGTACCTAATGCACTCACCAATATTGTTCTTCGGCGCCCTGCGGCGACAATTTGCTGCCTTCGTCGTGCCCCTAACTGTTATCCTGTACCTCTGTTCTGGAATGCTCCTGATCCGAGCCTTTTCATTCCAGGATTACACCCATCGCCTGGGGCTGACAATCTCCTACCTTGTGTTTCGTAATCCATACCGACCAACTATGAAGGAGTGGATGTGGAGTCTTCCCGCACATCTGTTCTATCATGTGCCGTTGCCTGCCATTCAGGTATGGAGCTTTCTTACAGTGCTCCATGATTCATGGGGAACGACTATGAGAGCCAACAAGGAGCTGAGGCATTCGAAGCTGCGTCTCAAGATTTGGGAAGTTGGATTCTTCGTCTTTTGGATGGCCATCCTAGGCGGTGCCTCGGGGAGGTATGTTGCAACCTCGCTGATGCCATGTTCGGCTGACGTGGTGGTATTTATCTTTGCGGGTGTTGTGTCCGTGTTGATTGTGGGTGGGTGGTGGACGGTTGTCGCGAAGTGAGCCGAGCTGTTGGTTTTGCTGCATGAACGGGGTGGCCATGAAGGCTTCCCTGAGCCGACATACCACGAGTGTAAATATGCTTAAGTATGATTTCCTTGACAAGTAGAGGATTCAAGCAATGTCGAGAAAGAAATACCTCAAAAAGATTGATAGACATGCCGTGCCAATGCAAGGCTGAATGTGTGATGGCAAAAACGGAGAGGAGAGTGGAAAAAACGCGACGCTGGGAAACAACAAATGTCTCCCAGTCACCTGATCAGCCTACTATACGAACAATACCATCGCTTCTCACTAGTATTGAGCCCTTTGTAAGACTAATGAGATTAGTAAGTACTAAACTCACCCACAACCGACATCTGAACATGCATTCGCTCTTGAAGGATTTTGTAACGATTCTTTGGAGGTATATATTTCGTGATCGACCTAACAATGACGCAACATAACTACTTCCTGTTCGCCAAAAGCTTCTTCTTCGTCCTGTCAGCACACGCCTTAGCATCAAAGATACCATTGACGCTAGGATGCTCCCGAGTAGCCTGCGCCCAACGGTTGAAGTTCTTCGCCTCCGCCAATCCCTCCCAGATTGCGGGATCAATCAGTCCAGCCTCCTTATCCGCGAACGCGTGCAGACGGATTAGGAACGATCCAAGCAGCACCTCCACCAAAGTCAATTTGTCACTACCACCGAAGAAAGGTCCGTGCTCCTTCCCCTCCAATCCCTGGTACAGGAGCGGTTCGATCTCCTTCTTGATAGCAGCTACGTAGCCCTCAACGCCGGCCTTCCGGTCGGCTTCGGTAGCACCGCGCAGGGCAGCGTTGTAGTGTGGGGCAGCTTTGCTGGAGTAGGTGTCGACGAAGAAGGCGATGCGAGCGCGCTGCAGAGCACCCTCGGGGGTGTTTGAAGGGGGCACGAGGTGGGAGGGGTATGCGTCGGCGAGGAATTGAGCGACGATGCCGGATTCGGTAATAACTTCACCATTGTAAGAGAGGGAGGGAACGAGACCGCGCTTTTATGGAGAACATTGGTTAGCTTATATTGGTGGGAGGTGGATGTGAACGTCGGACATACCGGGTTGACTTCCAGATACCATGGCTCGCGTGGGGTGTCCAAGTCAATGGTGACCTCTTCGAAGGGAAGACCCAGCTCCTGAAGAACAATGTGGGCGCGATGAGCCCAGGGGCAGGTGCGATTGGTGTAGAGAGTGATCTTGGGGGAAGACATGATGAATATGTGTATCGATTAAGGGAGTTAACAGCTGTCAAGTGGTGAAGACGAGAGGCGGGACCGGCGGGTATAAAAAGGCCGGCAGAAGCGGGGCATCGGCAGATGGAACCGGCGGGGAGGAAAACGTGGTAGGAAGAAAGCTTACACGTCCGACGGGATTATTAATGGCCTGCCCGCCGGGTGATTTCCCACCAGGATGGCATCACTTCGGGCCTATCAATTATTCACCGAGACCCTACGTCGCTACTCACGCAGAAAGTCCAAGAAATTCGTCATCAAAGATGTTATATTGCACAATCGGGGTATAACCTATCTATACTATACTTTTGACAGTTATATATATGATAACAAGATGTATTGCATGCGGGGTATATAATTGCTCGTGGCCGCGTAATATGTAATGGAAAATTCTCGTAATATAATGTTGATGCTAAACAAGGAACGGCTGCGACTCGCGGCGAAGGCGACTGGCCCGACGACCAGCATGTTTCTCGCGATCGGCGGCTAGCGTCTGGGCAAACTTGCTGCGACGACGAATTTCGGGGCCCTTCCAATAGAAGATGTAGATCGGAATGGCCACCAAAGCGGCAATGCACCCCAGCAGGGTACTGCCCCAGGCCAGGTGAAACTTGCCGCCAATGTTCTCATACAGAGGAGTCGCATACATGGTCGCAATACCAGCGAGGAAGTCACGAGCAAACCCGTTGCCGCCGGTCGCAGATGCAGAATAGGCACCGTATGCAGCGACCATGTAATCAATCGTAGCCATGTAGATGGAGTAGTTGGCGATGGCAATCAGACAGGCGAAGATGAGGGGAGCAATCCAAGGAGCATAGGCAGGGCCGATAGACGTCCATGCAAAACCCAGCAGGCCAATGGGCTCGAGGGGAGCTAGGAACAAGAGTAGAAGAAGACGGCGCTCAGCAAGACGGGCAGCATTGCCTTCCTTCTTGCGGATCTGTCGTTGCCGCCAGACATCCGGCAGGAAAATAAGGTATGCGATGACATAGCCGATGAGAATGGCACAGAAAGCTAGGCCATTGGTGAGGGTGTTGAAGCCCCACTGATCGAAAACAAGCGTGAAGGATTCGGTGAAGGTGAAAATCAGAGCATCGGAGAAACCAGATAGGAGTGACAAACAAAGGACAATGGGCTCGCGAATGAACATCTCAAACGGACGTCTCCAGATCCTCAACACCTCTTTGACACTCAGGCGGCTTTCCTTCAATTCGTTAGGGCCGTAGATGTTGGGATCTTCCCCAGACTTGCGGCGGCGCTTCGCTTCGCGATCCAAGAGGATTGTCGCCCTAGTTTCAGGAACCAACACAAAGTGCAGAGCTTGAGTGAATCCCCCGACGATCAATTGCACCCAGAATACCCATTGCCACGTGAGGTACTGCCCAATGAATCCACCAAAGACGGGTCCAATCGTAGACCCGCCCACTGAAGAAAGCACGACGTATGCAACCGCGAACCCCTGGTCATCAACTTCCCACATATCTGCAGTCATACCCAGGGTGACGGAACCGCCAGCAGAGCTCAGACCACCCAGGAAACGGCAAACCACGATGGTACCAAAATTAGGTGCCAAGGCGCAAGGGATCTGCCAAATATTGACTAAGAATAAACTGAGCTGCATGATCGGCCAGCGCCCGAATTCTTCACTCCAGGGCGCCCATAACTCACAACCGAAGGCGTATGCAACCAGGAAAATCATCTGCCCGACACGGGCCGCTTGAGCGCTAACATTGAACTCATTCTCAATGCCCGTGAGAGCATCCGAGTACACGCCCGTGTTGAAGTTCATGGACATTTGAACCATGAAGACCACAGTTAGGATGGTCCATTTCTTGTACCAAGGGAAGCAAAAGCCAAGTTTGTCGTAACAATCGTCCTCGGTTAGCTCCCGCTTGCCGTCAGATCGCTCTGTCTTGGACAGATCGGTATCACTTCCAGATGTTGGCTGCGAAGCATGCTCAGCCTGCTGGGCGAAGGGATCGTCCGATTCCGATCGGCGGGTCAGGTTTCTGAGAGCATCGTCTGTCTTGCCAGACTTCTTCTTCTCGTCAAACATACTCTGATCGGCAGGGGCACTGTTTTGCGGCGTGGGCTCAGTTGCCGTCATGGTGATGGAGTAGAAGGCGCACCCTAGGACAGTGTGAGAACCCTTGTCATGCGGGGTGGAGAAGGCAGTAATAAAGATAATAGAATAGACCAATCAGTGTCTCGGGAAGATGAGAAGGAGAGGAGGTTGATTGGACTGAGGATGATGCTGGAGTGACGATTGATTGCCAGATGGGATGTGAGGGATCTTTATAGATCGCTGATCTCTTGTGGAAGCTATTTAGCCTGCACCCCGGTACATTATTCTTCCTCCGGGGCACCTGGTACCCTGGAGTGCGGAGCGGATCTCTGCCATCAGTGGCATGACGTGAGGGCGTACCCATGGGAGTCTCATTAGCAAATGGCAAAGGATGGGTATCCCAAAAGGGTAATCCGAGAAGCCGTTCGCTAAAGAAGCCTGATAACGATGGCAGTCGGGGCTCGGCGGAAGAGATCTTCTCCCCTCGCTGGCGTCATAGTTCCGGCCCGTCAGACGAGGAGCTGGGGTCCCCAATCAGAGATGGGGACTCCTAAATTGTTCAGCTCGGACCATCATGCTAAGTACAAGAGTACTTTGTATTAACCACAGAAAATTCCGTTTGATTGGCCACGGCGGCGAGAGGATATGCATCTAAATCGGAGGCGTTGGGGTTATTGTGATTGTGTGAGAGTACTGATTATGTGGCGACCACTGGGGTCGGTTTCCTTCGAGGCGGGAAAAGGTCGGAAAGACACATACCATACGGCCGAGGTGCAGCCCGATGTGCCAGGTTCAAGGTACAGGACAGGATTTTCCGAATGGCTCAGAAAGTGGCCATGCAGGCGGTTTCCCTGGACTTCGCGACAGGCTGTGGAGTGGACACGGTCCGTTGTAGTACAAGATGGCAAAACAATGCACGGTCACCTGCTCAGGCTAACCCGTCGGCACGACATTTTGTCGGCCGGGGCCGGCGGTGAGCCATGACGTCAGGGCTTCACCCACGAGAAGACCAATGATATCGCAGTATGTTTCCTGGCAATCCTCCCAATTAGGTCTAGTCAGGCGGCCAACTGGTTTCTGCCTGCATTCTGCCGCCCTTCTCCGGCCGGATCCTACACTGCTACTAACACTAACAGTAGACTCAGTAGTCCACCTCCTTCTCCTTCACCCTCCATTTCCCCAGTCCCTTCTCCGTGTCCCTCCACGGCAATTCCAAAATGTCCTTCTCCTCCACCATGACGCAGGGCTCAGCTCGCGTGTCAACTGACAACGTCACTTTACCCTTTGATATTGTTCCCCAACGTCATGGTCCATGTGGTGACTGCCAGATGCCCTCCCTCATGTTATTGAGAATGATATCGGGTTGGTCCTTGCAATTCGGTGTCTAGCCTCTTGGCTGCGAAGCTAATCCGTACATGGCCAACCTCTATCGGCTTGAATTTGGAACCATGCAGCTATTCCGTCTCCCTTGTGCCGCCTGGACTCGCATCCCGGCCTCCCGATGCAACCCGACGCCACACCTAATGTTGACCCGAGGAACGACATCGCCTCGAGGGGAAGAAGTATGATACGTCTCAACAAGGTTCACGCACATTATGGTCCGGATAAGTTCTATAGCCGCCAATTCTCCCTCTGGTCAGATGGACAATATTCCTCTATCAACGCCTTCGAGACCATAGGTGAGTACATCAATCATCCCACGCAGTCTCATTCGCAGATAAGTCGAGACTCGAGTGGGAGGAACAACATTTCCGTAACCATGTTTCCTTTTGGTGCTCCGCGTTTCTCGCCCCCGCTCCCTCCATCGCACTAAATCGGTGGACCGCAACAAACTATTTCATCGGCGATTCTCATTGAGTGAGTTGTGACCCACAGTGCATCATCCCCTTCCCATCCACGCAGACGGCCATCCAAACCTGTTCCGCCTGCAGTGTTGATTATCATATGATATTCAAATCCATTGCGCTATTTGTCGCATTCGAGTCTAGTAACATATGCTGTCCATATGCGTACCGGTCCCTCGGCTTCAAGAAACTCAGAACACACGCCTTCGTCTCGGCTCTGCGGCAGGATTCACTATCCTACGACTGGGGTGGTGTCGGAACCCGAGCAGCCTACTGGTAGGAATTCGCGCAGCACAAGGCTCGGAGCAATCTGCACCGTCGCAGTCACGCATCCGGCGCGCTTCGTAGTAGCCTCAGCTGGTTTTCAGTATCCTGACACCGTATCTGTTGTGGCGCTCAGTGCACAGTATGCTTCACGGTGAACACAATCGGTTATTAATTCAATTGTGATAGAAATTCTTATTTGCTGAATGGACACAATACACGCAGATCTGGTATAATAGGGTATACATCCGAGCCTGCCCTGTACAATAACGCCATTTCTTACTCCTAATCGCACAGAGTAACTTCCTCGGTTGGGCCACTAACAGCATGATTCGAACAGGAAGGTCGGCGCAGTAAGACGGTTCCGCTAGCCAACTAAAGATCCTGCTTTGGACGCTAATCCCCACTTGTGTAACCAAGAGCTGTCTATCCTACACTACATACCTCAGGATACGTGCACCTTGCTTTACTGACACAGATCGTGGCAGTACCTGCCGTGCGCCCGATGTCCATCAATCCCAAATTGTGCTAATGCATCATCAAGCATCGCCCAAGGCAAGCCATAAGATTATAGCGTGTCGCCAAGTCCCATTGGACAGGGGGCCCTGGTCATGGCCGACGCGTCGGACGGAGGCCATCATTACCACTTCCGGGATAGTCGGGCGACACCGACGGTGCTGCCGACCCAGCAACACAGTTCAAAGTTACACAAAGATTGAACTGAAACCCAAGATGTAGAATCATCTTGGGCAGGCATGTAGACCGCCATAGGAAATACATACGACGCGTTCCTGGTGTTGGTGAAGAACACTATGGCTGGTTTTGCAGTGAATGTAGAACAGCCACGATTGATCGAGCAGATTGGGAGAATCCGCTGCTGTAGAATGAAAGGATTTTCACCCCAATCTCGCAAGCCCATAGAAACACATCGAAACTCATACTATCCGTGTGCCTATCGGAATCCCAGCTAGCGTGTACTTCGGTTACATTCCGGGGAATGGAGCACAGTAGTACCCACATGTCCGGTCTGTCTTGTTTTCCGATAACATGGTGGGATGGATTTTCTGGTCCTATCATTTCCTGGTTCTCGTTCTCTATAGCCGTTCCTGGCTAATAACACACGGAAATTATCTCCAATATACTTCGCACGCCATCTTGACATCCAGCCATAACCGGTCTTGTAGCTTGAGTATCCCGGCTCTTAAGTGGTTTCTTGCTTTACCACTAACCGCCGGAAAATTGCTGGTAAGACCATGGGCCACTGGACTTTTATGTTTCTCCTTAGTGCCATATAGTAACGTAGCACACAGCGTTCCGACTTCGGACGGAGTAGTATTCTCATCCATGCTTTCGCAATATGTTTACTTCTCTCGGCCTAACTTGCGATCCGGTGGTCTCACTACATCGGCCATGAAAAAGAAGATCAGTAACCCCTTTGGCAGCTGATGACGCTCGGGTAGGTCTATTTCTTCTCTATTCCCATGATTGTACACGTTTGGTAGCATGCCATTTCCTGGTTTCCAAATATTTCCAAGGATAACTGGCACTCATTGCGCTAAGACTTGAGATTTCTTAACGAGGTATTACTGACTGTTATTCTAACTCCGGTAGTCTAGAAGGGGCAGTACCTGTAGGCGTTGTCAGGCAGTACACCTATTAGTCGTGTTCTATGGGGATGACTAGCCATCACAGAAGGCAATGCTAGGTATCTTTTGATAGAGTTGAGTATAAAATCCCTTTCCGAAAGGAGGTTGGCAATAAATCGGTAGACAGCTTGTTCCTGCTGGTAATAAATACAATGGATAGGATTCTGGTTAAGCTCGCGCGAAGATTACCTCATCCCTTATAACTGTTTGTGGTACTCTCTGTCAAGGAAGGGAACAACTGGATCTGAACTATCTAGATCTCAAGAGAATGGGTTGGATGGCTGGAAGGGATTGTGATCAGAGAGCCGAAGGACCAGCTGACCCTGGCTAAAGTGAATGTCTCAGCACTTTGGGTAGGGTTTTGATCGCCGTTCCTTCTTAGCAATGCCTCTAGTCGTGTTATATATCCTCCACCTTGTGAATATATTCCCCAAATACCCCGCTATACCAACGTAATAGTAGTCGTTTCAATATCGTCCCAGAGCTCTAAGCCTCCCGACGCGCAAGTTCCCCAGAGAAAAATTCCTGCTCTTCGATAGTTGCCAGATGTCTCTGTCGGTAGCACAAGTAAGCCCAACATGCGCCATGAACCAACAAGATGATAATATCTCGGTTCATAGTCTGCGCAAAAATAGCTAGAGATTAGAACCAGGGACAACTGGGCAATTTCCTGTCCTACTTCAAGGAGAATATCGTCATTAGTTGCATGATCTGTCCAGTCGAAGCGAAGATGGGCAAGGTACTCTCCATCGTCTGATGTAAGTTCATAAGGAAAGTCAACGCCAAGGCTCGCTTTTCGGCGGCGATGCATCTTCGTAGATGAAGGTAACCGAACAAGTTTGGTCCGCAGTGAGATGAAGCCACTGTGCACTTTCCCATATCGATCCCGGCCCGTCGTTGTCCCCATAGATGCGATTTGATATTCAGGTTTGAGGGCGCAAAGTCTAGGCCAACTGACCGGATTGGACTGGGATGCCCAGCTCCACGTGGGGGCCAAATACTCCTTTGGAGGTGTCAGGAAGGACGCTAATGTTGTCAATCCTTTCGGGACCCAGAGAAGGTCAGTCTCAAGCTCGTCACTCCAAATGCCGGCCAAATATTTGCCCTCCGTCTGTGATGAAAATTTCCTAGCCAATGCGGATATTGCTGGTATTGTATCACGCGAATAAGAAAATTGGCGAGTGGAATATTCTTCAATCATACAGCGCCATCCATCCGGAGATAAGGAACTTTCGCGGTGTTCTCTATCTATGTGGAAATTTTGGCCCCAGGGCTGACACATATCATCGAATGACATATCCTGTGAGCGCCGAAATTGCACGTCAAGCATATGCACCATTCGTGTGCCGAAAAGGAGTAGACGAGGGCTACACAACGCTTCTTGAAGCGTCCAGCCACGAGTGTTCCATTGACTTTCTTTCAGATCGCAGTCGAAGGCGGATTTTTTAAGATATCCAAGACCGAGAAATTTTGACGGATATGGGTATTGAGGAAGGCCCTCAGGCGGAGACTTGTCATACTCTTCATCGTAGTACCCAGTGACGTGGTGTATGTAGTAAAACCCGGATATCAAAGGGTTTAAAGTTGACTGAAAAGGGACTTTGATAAGGTGTCGCCGTGGCTGAGTGAGAAATCCGCTTTGGCATGAATTGCCCTGCAAGGCACACAGGGTAACATACGAGTTCTCGTATATTTCTGCCATCTTAGCTGATTCTCTCTCCCAGTCATCCTGACTGTCCTGTACAATGCATAATGCATCCACCCAGAGATAGCGCACGCGTAATGCCCGGCAAACGAGGACCGCGTCAGAGACTGTTTTAGGCAACGATTCCATTTTAATTTCTTTCATATGTTCACGTAATGACGCTTTAGTTGTCTTGAGCTGCATTGCTGCATATTCCTCACTGCCCCAGCAATAGCTGAGAGCAAGGTACTTGCCTCGGTTTGCCCATTTGTGGGACCCTTGGTTGACCACTAGGCGCATCTTTGAACGAGTCAGCCAACAGCCAACATCTATCACGCGGGTAGGAAGATGTGGGTCTCTGGATAATCTGTATGACTTCTTTGCCAGCTTGCGTAACTGGGCCCGGCCTTTATCAGAGAGAGGATGAAATACAGGCGCTCTCTGAATGCGAAGCCAGCTTCTGCATGGGTCTATTACTGGGTCAGAAGTGTATCATAACAAGCCGATACCTAATGAAGTGCCTACCACCTATGTCAGCCTGCAAATCAAAGCTGACTGTATATACGGATTTGTCGTCATCCCGATCCCCTTTGAATTTGAAATGAACGGCAAGATGTGACATTGTAGAAAAGTCCTCATGGGACAGTCTTTGGGGACAAGACTTGTAACAAATGGAAAACTTATAGATCAACACGCTCTTGTGCTTGGGATCTGCTCTGCGTTCGAATTGGACTATCTTCTCATGCATGGCAAGGCACATGCCACATCCCGATGCAGCAGAGGCTGACATGACAGGAAGATTGGGCAAATTGTCAAAGAGATTATAATCCAGGAGAATGCATTCCTTTGAAGGATCTCGATCACATTTATCAAAGATAACCACGGGCTTGCCCCATGGGCCTTGTGCCACGCGGCCGTGTTCGTCGTCATTGAACTGGAGGACTGCGCACCTCTGGCAGAGTGAACTAGATATCTTCATTGCCGGAAGTAGCGAAGAAAAGGGAATATGTGTTCACGTTCAATAGCAGCGTTCTCGGGTATCTGTTTGAAACGGAGGGGCAAGGTGACAGCTCACATTCCGCAGCCTGACTAATTAATGTAACTGGACAACGAAGCAGTGTGACAACAAGCCGGTGCAGTAATCTTCACTGCTTTGAACCTCTATATAATATAATATATGATATATTTAATCTTACTTAATTCAGTTAATATTAAAGTTATTTAAATACATGGAGAGTTTTTCTTGAGATAAAAGACTAGTATTTATCTATAAAGTCTTTAATTATAATTAATTTATTATTAAAAAGATATGTGCTGCAGTATTTGATATTAAGATAAGTATTTTAAAAAATTATTTAAATAATATTAAATCTCGCACGGAAGTAGAGATAAATTTAAGAAAATTATTTAATAATAATAAATTAGTCTTGAAGCATAGGATTCTTGAATTAAATTTATAAATTATTTATTTATTATTATTAAAGTATAATATCTTACAGAGGTTTTTCTAGTATTAAAATTAAAGTTAAAAAATATTTTTATCAGTGAATGCTGGGTTAATTAAGTTATTTAATATTACTAAGCTAAATTAAAGTTTAAATATATTTAATATTTTAATTATTAATATATAAAGTGCGAGAATATTAAAATTATAAATTAATAATTCAGATTAATATAGAATATTATATAAAAATATAGGATTTTTAAATATAATATTTATAATATAAATAAAACAGATTTTTAAATGGAAATAGTATTAACTATAAAAGTTATTTATAGTACTGAATTATATTAAATAAATATAAAATTTATATAATCTGGAAATCATGAATGGATTACTTTAATTATTATAATTAATATTAAAGGAAGTATATTATTTCTATAAATTATTTTTATAAATAAAATATAGTAAGAGAAGTAGTTTAAAGCTATTTTTAATAATTAATAAATTAGTATTAGTAATAATAGATAAATAAATAATAAACTTATATTTAACTGGCTTTAATACTTTAATATTTATATAATTTTTAAAATAATAGATTAGTATTGTCTTCTTATCCTTAATAATTATAAAAATTATTTAATTATTAAATTTAATTAATATTATAAAAAAATTAATTATTTTTTATATATATTATCTTATTCTTTCTATAAACTTTAACTGCTTGATATTACTTGTTTTATATTATTAAAAATTTTATATAGCCGTTGAATTAAAGATATAATTAATTAAGATATTTATTATATATAAAAAAGACTTTCTATATTATTTTAAAAAATATATTTAAAAGTGTTTAATATAATAAATATAAAATAAGATTTTATTATAATAGAGTTTTCTCTATATAATTTTTAAAAATATTTTAATATTTTAAAGATTTGACTTAAATACCTCTATTATCTTTAATATTATTATTTAATTAATTTATATATTTCAGTAAAATATCTTTGATTCTTTATTAATTAAATAATTAAAAATAGAGATTAGAATATTATAGAAAATTAGATTATTCTTATTTATTACTGATTAAATATTTAAAAAGGTTTATAAAGATACAGAAATAATAATATAAAATATTATATTATTTTAATAGAAATTAAATTAATTCTGTACAGTAGATTAATATAAAAAGAATAAAAAAAAGATCTTGAAATACTTTTTATAAGAAGAAAATATCTTAAATAATTTTACTGTATATTATATTACTCAGAAAAAGAATATTGAGGTTATATAAATAATAAAATATATTTAATATTAGCTACTATACTGCAGTAATTGTAATAAGAAAAATTATAATTATTTTAAATATCTAGATAAAGTTAATATCTAGTTTATTTGAATATAAGTTATTTATATAGTATTTAATTGCTTTAATTTAAAGTGATTGTTGTAATATAGTAGGCAGAATGGTGGCTTGTTTGTAAGAGTTGAGGGTTGTTGTGCTGGCTTGTTGTCACACTGCTTTATTGTCTGATTATGTTAGCTGCATTAACTTAGTAATCATGTTAATTTAACTTGGACTGAATACTACTAGTGGCTAATAGAGACCAATGTCCCAAGGCGTGTTACAGGGTGCTAATGAGAATAACATACTAGGGTTATATACCTGGATGCTTTCTGAATCGACATCCCGCTCAAAATTCATCCACCCCTCTCTAATATGTCCCATCTCTTTGTGAGGCTCATCTCCCTTCGCTGCCATGGTGTGAGTATATTCTGTCCTTGATTTTCGAAAGGCCGTCTCTATCGCCTTCCATTGTCTCCATGTGCTCCTTCGCCACCCATCCTGGCGTGTAACCACCACCGAAATCGATCACCCACGCATCCTCGTTCCTGTCTACCAACACATTGTCCGGCTTTACATCTCCCCAGATAATGTCAGCCTCATGCAGCAATTCCACCGTTGTAGTAATTTGCTCCTCCCATTTCCTCCGCTGCGAAATTGTGACTTCCTCATGTAGTGCACATGAAAGGGTAAGATTGTCGCAGTCTATCAACGATATCAAAATGCCGATAACATGACGGCAGTCCTGAGCAGCATATACCACGCCGATGAATTGGGGTACACGCACTTGCGCATTATTGCTCAGTCCTTTCGTTTCCATTTTCTTGTAAGTATCCAACTCACGAAGAAGCCCTCGTTTCGTGTAGTTGTCTTTCAAGAAACACAGCTTTCCATCGACACAAACCTTCCTTGGGTAGTTGGAATAACCATATTCCCCCTCGTTGAGGCACTGCTGTACCATTTCTGGTGTGAAACTACCCCAGCTAGGATGAAGAGCGAAGTCGCCTATGTCAATACCCGTTTCGCGCAGCGTCCTTCGAGCATTATAATCGCATCAGGGTTCCATTATTTCATCGACAAAGTGAAGCTGAAAGTAATATGTTTCCGGATTGAGGTAATCACGAAGCGTGAAAGCTTGTCCATCCAATGGCGGTGCTTCAACTTCAGCAAGAATAGGAAGGAATGGTGGTACTATCCAGTCATAGAATTCATTGTATGTGGTTTCCCAGTCATGGCCAAACAAATCGTTGATAAATCGCGCGTACTTGGTGAAAGATAACTCTGAGTTGACGAAGTTCTTAGGGCAAATTTCTACCCGAAAACGCTTGCCTTTGCACCCAATGTCGAGCCGTGCCCACAAGTCGTGTCTGCCATAGAGGATGTCCTGGCTTTCCAGATAGGACTTGGGGCTGTCATTTTGGGTCCTATATGCTGACCGCGAGTTTTGGTGCAAAGGGTGATTGGTATGTAGGAGCGTAGGTTTGAAAGCATGTAGGTTGTCGAATGGGGGCCAGGGAAGTCAATGTGTTCACTTTCGGTGGCTTATACAATATAGCAAGCACAGCCACTTGTTCAAACAAGAGAGGGTTGTTGTAGACTTATTTGTAGTCCTACTTCTACACACCTCTGGCTCCTTAAGTTTGGTGAAATGCTCAAGACCACACCATGGGCTAGCAGCGACCAGAACTCTTGGATAAGATTATAACTGTAACTGTTGCTGTAAACGTCCTCTCATGATCGGCAGCCGCCTTACTCTGATCAAAATTTTGTTTCGGGATATTCCGACAATAATGCAAGAGAGACGATTTGTCTCTTTACTCAAGCGCTATATAAATGTTAATCCTGCCTGGTTATTCAAAGTACCAACGGCAAATCAGCCACCATCGAAACTATAGTACTAGCGCGGGTCCAGTTTCGGCAAATCCCGTCTACAGCTAATACTATTCGCAAAAGGCCAAGCACAATGTGTTACTCATCCATCCGATTCCACCATTGTGGCCACGTCTGGCAATCCATCACCAACTACTGCCCAAAAGCACGCCCAATGCAAGGCAGCAGACGATGTGCACCGTGCTCTGAGCACAGCACGCGCCATTTTACCACCATTGGAGCACTTTGTACTCGAGAGGACTGTGTGACGAAGGACATGTGTGATAGGGGATGGACCTGCTGTAAATGTGGACAGGACAACATCGTGCGTCACTATGTATGCAGTGGTCCACCCTCAGCAGTAGGTGAAAGCGTTGGCGGAAGGAATCGCTGCATTCATGTTGTTTGCTTGGAATGCCGATATACATCTACTCCTCCGGAGGATACATACCCGATGCCTACGGATCGTTGAACGCGATACTGGCATGTCGTTGGATCAATACATAGCCTTCTCGTTGAAGTTCGGTATGGGTGGTGGATGGTGTATTGCTCTGATTGAGCGGCGTTGCTAGTGACAAGTCGCTTATGATAAGTCGCTACTCTGCGTCATTCTTGCGAAGATCAGCTACTAGGGTTGAGATTAGATTTAGGGCTCTAGCCTTGAATGGCACTATTAGAATCCGGCAATGGATGAATAGAAAGAGAAACACCCATCCCTCACACACTTTCATCACTCCCATACGGTAGTTCCCTTGGTGTAACGTTAAATATTTCTGCAGTAAGCTTGCTTTGTGTTGCTGGCGGCTTTCCGATCGAATATACCACATCTCTGCCTCACTTTTGATTATGAACAAGGAAAGACGTAGCAGCACAATGGTGGTTGCGAAAGTGTCCCCCACAACGCACTAAATTAATAGTCTAAGTGAATATTCTATCAAGAAAGACAATATAGTACATGGATTATGTACAAAGACATCCTACCCCCCATCCTCCCTTCAACATCACCGACCACATCCAATCCCTAAGAAATAACAGTAACATTATCACCCAAGTTCCTGCAGTTCTTGGGCAAAGTAATAACGGCACCCTCACCCCTAGCTACATCCGAGTGATTATAAGTCGGGTTAAACGCCATGATCTGGCCCACAGTGGAGCCAAACTTGTCCGCTAGATCTTTGTAGGTGCCGTAAATAAGTTGGTACGGCTCGACCTCACACGCACTAGGACTGCATTGAGGGACCTTCAGCTCATTGTTCACCTGCACCAGTGCATCAGGATCACTGACTCCACCCTGAGCAGTTGCGGAGAGGGCGTCGACAGTGATGTTCAGTCTCAGGGCGATAGTCCGGATAGTGTCACCCTTCACGGTGTAGTAGGTGTGAGGACCACCGGAAACGCAGTCGGCGTAGTTGTCGTTGTGGCTAGGAAAGAGCAGACACGTGGAGTTGTCGGGGGTGCATGTCTCCGGGGGGATGAGCAGCTGTTCTCCTGTCAAAAAGGGGATCATGGCATCGGCCATGCGATTGAGTCGGGCAATATCGCAGATTCCGCGGTTCACCGAGTTGGAGACGCTGGCCATGGTGTCGCCTTCTTGGACGGTGTAGAGACCAACGGTGCTGTTTAGGTGCGAGCGGTTGCAGGTAGGCGCGGCCGTGGCTGCTGACGCCAGGAAAGGCATTGCTGCGAGGGATAAAAAGTACATGGTAGAAGAATTGAAGTCAAATGAATGGACTTTTCAAAGAGCGACAAGGTTTGGAGTTAAGGGAGTGACTTTTTTTGCTGTATGATGAGCGGATTGTAGTTGATGGGATTTATGGGCGAGGGCGCTCTCAATTTATGTTCATACAGAGATTGCGTCCCTTCCGTGGTCGGGTCGTTGGGGATGATGCGTTCAATGTCGCAACCAGATATTCGATGGAGGAAGCTCCGGCGATCTTTCTCATACGCGTAAGCTTAAACTATATTGCAGACTCGGAGATAATGGCTTCCCGCGGGACGGCCCCGCAACGGCGATGATCTTATCCCAACCGCGTACCCTTACAGTCGCCATCTGGGACTGGGCCCCGATGTTTGCAAATCCCGGTGCTTATACTGGATGAACTGAGTAACGGGGCTGTGGTGTGAAACGAAGTGGATCTGGACAAGTGTGTGCTGCATGTTGAAGAAGCTATGCTAGGGTAGTGGAAACTGATAGCTTTCAATCCCCGGCAGTCGCGGGCAAGCTACTGCAGATTGTACCTGAAAAGGTAAATGGGTATAGGGAGCAATATATATTGTGGGACTACTTTCTGTTCCTTGTCAAAAGTTAAGAACTTGGAATAGATTGACTTATCGGCCTTTCTTGGTGTCGTCCCCCGTATTTATCGGCTAGTCCGGAAAAAGCCTACTTAGGAGATAAAACAAGCGTTTGGTTTCGGGGAGGGTTATTCCGAGCACAGAATTTGACATGACACGGTCGTTAACACTTCTCAAAGAGCGAGGATGATGTATCTAACAAGTAGTACATAGTCCATCAAAGACTTAAGGACATCCTATAATCATCTTGGCATAAGCCCCGGCATCCGCCCGGCAATGGCCGCCAGGGTCCGCCGGGATGCCGATCGTTTCTTGCCCCGGATATCCCCCCCCCCCCAACAGAAATCCGCATTCGGGGGTAGCTTGCGAAGGGGCGGGACCGTATACCCGAGCTTCCGGCCCGGGCGCGCACGGCAATGACAACCTCCTAATACATGAAAAATGAAGATCGAATTGAAATGTAGTGGGAAAAAGTGAATTGAATATCCATTCAATAGTATAATTCAAGCAATGTCACTCAACTATCCAAGGTTGATGCTCCTTATCCGTTTCTTCTCCAATGTTTTTCCTGTCTCGCTGTTGCATTGAGTATTTAGATATTTCAAATGAAAATTGCTCATTTTACTTCATCACTACTTGCCTATATTTTGCTACTTTTAGATGGTACTAATTCCCCATTCATGGCGATCTATACGCTGTATCGAATATATATCCCTAGTCTTTCCTGTATAGAGAAGATCTGTCTGGCACTTTGGGACAGATAAATGATATGCTGGTACTCGACTTCCAATGGCGGGTTTTTTGGAGCAGAGCACGAAGAACTTGAGTAACGCATTACTACAGCACTGAATCAGTGAAAAGCTACTTGTTCAGGGGATTCTAGATGATCTTTTCTCGTATTTGGGTAGCTGTATGCGGTGGCTGAAGACATGGCGATCGCGTAGTGTGATGATCTGACTGCATCATTAGTGTAGTGTAACGAGATAGACCGTCTCTGTTGGCTCAAATACCTGTTTCCTTTCCTCGTAACACACAGTCTCTGCAGTATCCGGACTCATGATTAGATGTGTGGTTATGGTGTGCTGAACTATTAGCAACTCTCTAGTATGCATAGTGCTGGTTCGAAGAGGTGAGATGAGGGCAATGACCACCTCTTGACATGATAGCAGCCACTCTGTAGGCGTATAACGCCATTTTCGTACTGCTTGAGTGTGAAGTGTTTCGCGCCCGATAGCAGAACGTGCCACGTCGTCCTATCCTGCATAACATACATATGCATATGCGGAGTGCGGACAGCCATTGTGCAGGCCGAGCTTAAAGTACTACATGAAAGAATGACGCAGGGGTTGAATTCAATATATTTAGATGAACCACCACAATTTTCAAACTTGCTTTAGATGAAATAGCACTCATGTAATGTCGATAAACGAGTCTAGGTTAGGGCACCACGCCTTCTCAAGTGGAATAGGTTTATACAAATGAATGACACCTAGGGAAGAATGAGGAGAAATAATTTGTATTTACTTCAAAAGCGTCGCTAGTAGTAGGGTGTGTCTCAATCAGAAGATACTGAACGAAAGCTAGTCTCTAACTTCGCTTCCCCATGCGATATTATGCGGGACTACCGGTCCGCTCTTATTGCCCGGATTCTCTGGATCAAAGTCCAAGCGGTCGGGAATTCTCAAACCAGCTGGTAAATGGTAACGAACAAACCAGACAGAGACACCATCCTTGTACAGCCATGGGTCCTCCGTCTGGCGTTGCCACGTTTCCAATCGCGACCTGAGGTCGTCAAGAACGGCTGTGTACGCTGGATCCTTCGCAAGATTGTGAACCTCTCTAGGGTCCGCCTCCAAGTCGTAAAGTTCCTCTGGGGGGCGGAAGAAGTAGTCTCTTAGCTTCCGTCCGCCGACCATGATGTCTGTGTCGCTTGAATTACGGATATCCTCCCAAGAGAGGGATCCATACAGGTCAGCTGCGAAAGGGAAATCCAAACGCCAGGCCAGATTGCGGTGGTATTTGTACCGACGATCGCGAATGAAACGTGTGGGCCAGTAATTCGTTACTTCATGGAATGTGTGCGAGCCAAACGTCTGGTTGAAATCTGGCAACCCGTTGGAAGTTCCAAGAATCGGTAGAAGGGATCGGCCCAGTCGCTTTTTCTCTGGATCGGTGACCTCGGGATGACCGACAAAGTCAAGAATAGTAGGAAGAATGTCAACATAGGAGATCATGTTTGGGCTAACGGCAGGTGGGGTGTTTGGTTGTCTAACAATTAAAGGAAGTCGGACACCCGCATCATAGAGTGTTGTTTTGGAGTTGATGAAAGGCGGGCCATTATCGCTGATGAAGATGACGAGGGTCGAGTCTTCTAGGCCAGTCTCCTTCAGAGCATCCAGCACAAACCCGACACCTTGATCAAGACGATGAATTGATTTGTAGTACTCGACCAGTTCAGAGCGAGTACCGGGGGTATCATTGACGAATGAGGGAATCGGAACATCTTCTGGTTCGAGATGAAGCTTGGTGATTCGAGGATCATAGTCATCCGTGTTTCCAAAGCCACCTCGAGTTCGGTCGCGATGAGGATCGTGATACCCGATAGTCAATGCAAACGGTCTGTCGCTGGATTTTGCTTCCTCGAGAAACGATCTGGCCTGGTCGGCAATAACAGCAACATCGCGAGTGTCGCTCTCCTTGCGCAGTTGCCAGGGATAAACAGCAGATGGCCCTACATGAACCTTGCCCAGAATCCCCGTCCAGTAACCCGCTTCATTCAATAGATGAGGTAAACTCTTCACGTGGTCAAATGTCACGAAATGATGACGGTGGCTCGCAAGCCCATATTGTCCATTCTGGTGGGTGTGAAGACCGGTGTAGATGACAGAGCGACTACCGCTGCAGGATGCCGTACTTGCGAATGCATAGTCGAACCTGGTTCCCTGCTCTGCGAGCCGATCGAGGTTTGGCGTTTGGGATGTGTTGTCCCCGTAGCAGCTGAGTTGTTTCCCCAGATCATCTGCGATCAACAACAGAACGTTCTTCTTACTCGCCATTGTTGTGGAAGAAGCAAAGTAGAATAAGACTGCGCCAAAGTCCCTGTAACTCGTGGATAAAGAAGGTAAGAAATGCAAAGTTCCAAAGGAAGACGGAGTGCTGTGGGAAGCTGTCCAAGACCCCTGTTGAACCCCGCTTAGGATCACTTACCCTCGCATGGGCGGATAAGGAAATACCTCACAAGCTCTAGGAGCTAGCACTTAAGGTAACTACTGCAAATTCCACCTATAGGAAGAGCTCCAATGCTTGGACTTCGGGTAATTGGAGGTTCGGTTTAACCCGCTGCATCAACGCAATTCCGTCAGCAGATGATGTGCTTCCCGGGCACACAAACACCATAACACCCTTATCAAAACCACACTTCTTCTATCATGATCTCGTAAGTCGACATATCAATATAAATTAATCACGCCATATACTTTACACAGTCAATATATTGCTTTCATGTTGCAATGCGCCCTTAAATTAGGAATCACTGAAGAAAAGCTGAAGTTGGAGGCATGTGCCTGACAGGGTCCACTTCTGGTATACTCTATGCTATGGTAGCTTGTGTCATCACAGAAAGGAGCTATCATGTAGTACTACCTGGAACCATGCATGATATTAGTTGAAGCATTAATCAGGAATATATAAATAATGAATTCGAATTTCATACCCTTGTTCGAGGAATGCTCCTCCCATCTAAAATATATATTTCTTCCCACGCAAGACAGAAAATCCCCACCGCATTACAAAGCTCTCAATGCGTTTAACCTCATTGATTCCCGTCTCCCTGCTTGCTGGCCTCACGGTCGGTCAGCTGATTGGCCCGGTCGGTCCAACGACCAATCTTGAAGACAAGACCATTGAGTGCAACATCCTAAATTATGGTGGTGTTGCCGATAATCAGACGGATGTTGCAGCATCCATCGAAGCCACTTTCACCGAATGTGTAGTGAATAACCCCAAAAGTCGTCTTGTTGTCCCCGAAGGCGACTATTTGATCAAGCGAAGTGTTGTTTTGAGTAATGGAACCAATTGGGCATTCCAGCTTGACGGTCTGATCACCGCGGCATATGGTGGAAACTGGACAGTCGACCGTGAGTTGATACTCCAAGGGTTTGCGGGAGAGCAAATAATAAACTCTACCATCAACGGCGAGGGTGACGGAAAATTCTTACTAGATGTGCTTGTCATCGTGAACGGTATGATTTATCCTCCGTTACTTGATAAGACATTACTCAGGCTTATTCGCTTTCAATTTGTGCAGCTGTCGATTTCGAATTCTATTCTTCCAACGGGCTTGGTGCATTTCAAGGCCAGGGATATATCTATCGAAACTTGGACAAGTGAGTTATAAGAAATCCTGTTCCTAAACACAGCTGATGAGCGTTCGAAGTACCGACCGCCCTCGACTTGTCCGGCTTATTTCGCCTACCAATGCCTCCGTGCATGATTTGATTCTTGTGGATAGTCCCAAGTTCCACATCGTGTTTGATTTTGCTGTGAACTTGGAGGCATACCACCTTACTATCCGCGGTGCTAATCTAGGAAGCTATGATGGAATTGACGCCATCGGCACCAACTATTACATCCACGATAACGAGGCAAGTAGAAAGTCCATAGATCCACGATGTAACAGGGGCTAACAATGAGACCAATAACAGGTCACAAACCGTGACGAATGTGTCTCGGTGAAAAGTCCTTCCCATCATGCTTTGGTCGAGAACCTGGTTTGCAACCAAGCAGGCTCTGGTGTTTCAATTGGCAGTCTCAACGTATCCGCGGAAATATCCAACATTGTGGGTTTTAGCAGTTGTACATCCGTGATAGGTCTTGGCAGATACTGATATGAAACAGGAAGCTCGCAATATCAGCATTATCCAGGGCAACAACATCGCCTTCATCAAGACGTATCCTGGAGGATCTGGTTACGTTAGGGATGTCACTTTTGAAAACTTCCGATCCCTGAACAGCCTGTACGGATTGGACATCAACCAATACTGGCAAAATACTTGGGAACCTGATACCGGCTCCGTGACATTGAGCAACCTTGTATTCAAGAACTTTTCAGGTATCTGGGCCCTTTTATTCAATCACGTCATTGCCCTTACTCACGCGCAAACATAGGATCGGTTGCCGATGGAGCACTCCGCCCGCCATTGTATCTGTTTGCCAGTGACTTGACCTTTGCAACAAACGTCACCGTGGAGGAATTCTCTGTATGGACTGAGACTGGTACGACAGTCGTGAATAAGATCAGCAACATCTTTGGCACTGGAGATGACAGCTATGGAGAAAATGATGGAATTGAAACTCTGCAGTCTGGAGAGTCGCCGTATACGTACACCAGCACCTATACTATCACGGCTTCTCCGACCAATTGGCAAGCTCCGTCAACCCCAACCTGGGCCTTACCGAGCACTGGATATGGAAGTAAGTCAAATGGTTGTGTTCGTGCCGCTGAACAGAAAGCTAACTAGTCAATAGCGGCGTCACCCATCCCGGTCTATACTCCTGCACCCCTTTGGCGTCCTGGTGGAATCGACTACAATCTTCATTACTGGGGAAGCTTTTAGTTAGATCATCGGCACAACTGTTCGTATAACGGATGTCCGGTATAGCAGGAGAGAATGTATAGATAGACTTGGCTCGATACAAGCTCATTCTGGGCTTTATTTTAAGGCAAAAAGAGCGATTATTGTCTCCCGTTACTAGTATAAAACTCCATGACGTATTGTGATAATGAACGACTGGTCTCCAGATCATAGTTCCACTTTTACGAACACTTATAGCATCCTCTCACATGTTCTTATCACCCCATCCAAGTATTGCGTAGGATAACACACCGCTGGCAAGTGGATGAAGGAGATACCAAACTACGCCAATTCCAAAGCTGGCTCAGTCGAAGTACTGTCTACAGCACTAGCAATTTCCCACCAATCCTGATAAATAAATTTGAACGGGGTCTCGACTGTCGGTAAATGAAGCAAGGAGGGGCACCGACAGCGTTCAGGGTCTTGGGTGGGCTGTGATTGGAGTAGCCCTAGCTTGTGTCATCCGCGCTTACATGACGACGATGGTCAGCAGCAGCAACACATGGTCGGTTTGCGCCAACTTAGACTTAAGCAAGTTGGGAAGCAGCTAGCTCCTATCGTTGTTCATTTAATATAATTTCACTACTATCTCATTAGTACATTCCTGCTTAGAACTGCCAGTATAATATGTTTGGTCGTACTTTGATAATGCAAATGCCCATCACCTCATCGCCATCGTCGATCACGCATCTCCGTAATTTAGCCTCGAGGGGCTACTGCCCTATGTACCCATCGCATGTATATAACTTCAAGATAACCAACGTGCATTCATCTCTAGCAAGCCATACAATCTCGGTCGGGCCTGGATTAGCTGTTATACCGTCTTGTTCTTGTCTGGTATACCGATCGCTCTGACTATGGAGCGAAATTCCTCCAAAGCTGCGTCTTCTCTGGATCGCGATCACCAAGTCGACAGAAGCCAAGACTTGAAAGATGGAACCTATGTGGCCCTTGCCGAGCCGGATGATTCCCCTGGCTCCGATGCAGTCCTTACTTCTCTCTTCCGTCGGACCAAGAAACACGACCCCGACGCCATCGCCACCACTAGAAGTGTATTCGACGACCCTTCCCTCGCACCTTTCTACCAGCCCCATCCAAAGTATGAGAATCTTCATCGCTTCGATCCCAGCGCACGATGGACCTATCGGGAGGAGAACAAAGTCCGACGTAAAACAGACTGGTCAATTCTTCTCTGGATCCTGGTTATGTTCTTCGGGTTGAACCTCGATCGAGGCAATCTGAGCAACGCTAACTCCGACAATCTTCTCGGAGATCTGAACCTGACTACGGACGACTACAACAACGCACAGAACATGTACCGCGTGGGATTCCTGATTGCAGAGATCCCTTCGCAGATGCTTGGAAAGGCAATCGGTCCTGATCGGTGGATTCCCGTTCAAATCATCTTGTGGAGTTTCGCGTCCGGGGGACAATTCTTCATGCACAACCGAGCGGGATTTTTCGCGTGTCGATTCTTCATAGGGCTGTTCATGGGCGGCTTTATCCCCGATTCCATCTTGTACTTATCCTATTTCTATACAAAGGCGGAGATGCCGTTCCGCCTGGCACTGTTCTGGTTCACTGATTCGATATCTGGAGTGATCGCATCTTTCATTGCGTACGGTGTCTTGCATATGCGCGGAGTTGACGGGCGGGAAGGATGGAGATGGCTTTTCCTAATCGAAGCGCTGATCAGTTTCGTGATCGGCTGTTTAAGCTTCTTGTTTCTGGTCCCTGGACCCACTCAGACCAGAACGTGGTGGAATCCGAAAGGTATCTTCTCGGAAAGAGAAGAGACTATCATCGTTAACAGAGTGCTGCGTGATGATCCATCGAAGGGTGACATGCACAATCGCCAAGCATTGTCCCTGGGGATGTTGTGGAAGAGTCTGAAAGACTACGATCTCTGGCCGATATATATCATCGGGATCATGTTCGAAATCCCGACTTCACCTCCGAAGTCCTATCTGACCTTGTCGCTAAAGGCGATCGGCTTTTCCACGTTCCAGACGACCCTTCTGTCCATTCCGGTGACTGTCTTTGCCGCTATTAACCTTGTGCTCGTCGCGCTCTTATCTGAGTTCTGGGGCCAAATCTCAATTGTCTGTCTCCTGACACAGCTGTGGTCACTTCCACTCCTCATTGTCCTCTATACATCTGCTGGAAGCCTTTCCAATTGGGGGCTCTATGCTGTCTCATTTATCTTGCTGGGCTGGCCAAATCCGCAAGCTGCCCAGGTGAGTTGGTGTTCACGGCTAAGTAACAGTGTCAGAACCAGAGCAGTCGGTGCTGCAGTCTTTAACATCATGATTCAACTGTCTGGAATTGCCTCTTCCAACATTTATCGATCGGATGATAAGCCTTTGTATCGCCGTGGAAATAGACAGCTGATTGCCATCAATGTTGCCACCATCGTCATGTACGCGTTGGCCAAGTTTTATTATGTCTCTCGGAACCGGTGGAAGAAGGCTCAATGGGACAAGATGACGGCCCAGGAGAAGGCGGCTTACTTGGAGACAACCACGGATGAGGGGAATAAGCGACTTGACTTTTATTTCGATAGTTGAAAGAGTTATCATGCCGCTAGGGAAATGCGCGGGTTGGTAGGAGACGTTCATGTCAAAAGGGTTAGTGGTTAGTAGCGGACCGCGTTAGCGAAGGGGGACTGTTTGTCGACAGGACAAGCAATGGATATAAAGAATAATCAGGGAAACCGCCATCCGTACATTGTCGTGACCGTAGTGAACACCTCAATTCCATTTGATCAAAGAATTCATTTATCAGAGCGAGCAGTAGAATGTGTCGTTCGTGCCTTCGGTTATCACACAGTGGAATACTTGTATGGTAGCAATAAATTCGAAAACAGCAGTTGTCATAAATAAAATCAAGGAGCATATGTTGTTCGGCAACAAATGAAAATTTCAGATTATCTCGGACACGAAGAAATTCTTCCTCGCTTTATGCACTTTTCACGGATTCTGGTCGTGGTAGATAGTTAAATTTTTAAGTTGGGCGGAAACGAAAACGAGAACGAACCAAAATAGAAACAAGGGTCCTCCGGCTTAAACGAATATACGAGTAGACCCCCACTATAGATCTTGGATCATCGGCGAAATGGTCACCAAATATTCAGGATAGGATGCTTACATCCAATAGCAGCTACTTTGTAGACAATAGCGTCTGTTTCAAGCTTCTTGATCCGACCGACTTCTAGACCCGAATAAACCACCCCGTTTGCTGGGCGAACAATGCTAAGGCCATAGTACCCATGAAGTGTACGCTGTAGCCCCATATTATCGTACTATACACAAAGTTCATTGCATAGCATTTCCTCAGCCTCGCCTGTGCGGGTCCATTTTCTATTAGTCTGTTGTGCGAAGCCCCATGACACTATGGAGTGATAGTATAAGTACCCAGCTCCATAAGAACTTTCCCCGTCCGGACTTCGAAAGATTTTCCAGGCCCTCGTTCTCTCACTACGGTTTATAATTTTCTTCTCACACTCTTTCCCGATCTTAGATATCTGTATTTCTTTGTTATTACTTTTCACTGACCACAAAAATGCTGGGCTCCAGGGATCCTGAAAGTTATGAATTCGCTTTTTACCGCTATGACCCCAGCATGGGTGGCGCCGTTCTTTTCATCCTTCTCTTCATTGGCACAACAGGGTATCATGTCTTCCAAATGGTCAAGTCTCGCACATGGTTCTTCATTCCATTTGTCATAGGCGGTATATGTAATGATACTCCCCACTGGTCATAGCCTAGAAACATGCTGACTTTACTAGTTGAGATCATCGGATATATCGGACGTGCCATGTCCAGCAAGCAAAGCCCAAACTGGACGCTCGGACCTTACATTGTGCAGACGCTCTTTCTCTTACTCGCCCCTGCTCTCCTTGCAGCCTCTATATACATGCTACTCGGTCGGATTATCCTAGTGTTGCAGGCTGAATCCCACGCACTGCTGAAAAAGAAGTGGTTGACGAAGATATTTGTAACGGGCGATGTGCTTTCGTTCTTATTGCAGGGAGCAGGTACGTATTATCTGACCATATCCTTCTGTGCCTAACTTCTCTCTGACTCAATCCAGGCGGCGGAATCCAGTCCAGTGGCAATCTGTCCGCCATGAAGACTGGCGAGCACATCATCGTCGTAGGCCTTGTGATTCAAATATTCTTCTTTGCATTTTTTATGATCACCGCGACCCACTTCTACCTAAAGGTCAAGAAGTATCCGTTCCCGCGATCTTGTTCTCCACATATCCCCTGGAAGAAACACATGAAGGTACTCTACGCGACGAGCTTCTTTATCATGGTCCGTTCCATGTTTCGACTCATTGAGTACATTCAAGGAAATAACGGGTTTCTATTGCACCATGAAGCCTTTCTTTATATTTTCGATGCACTGTTGATGTTCATCACCATGGTCATATTCAACGTTATCCATCCGCACGAGATCGGCCAGCTACTACGTCAACCCAATGACTATGACATGACGAGTTTCTCAGAAGAGCAGACCCCAAAGCCCTACCAAGGGTACAATAATGTGTGAGAGTTGTGGCATTCCTGCTACACTTTGGTCGTTATCCAATCTGTCCCTGTTCGCGCTATATATATTACGTTCGTTGTCTTCTTTCCAGTCCCGACTCTTTATTACTTCTTATCTACATCTTAATAACACGTTAAATTTCAGGAGGATGAACAAGCCTTGCCAAATTGTGGGGCTTATAGCTTCATTCCCGTCACGTGACTTTTCGCTCAGGAGGCCGGGTTAATGCAATCAGAAACGATAGAATGATGACAGTTTGTACAAACCAGTTCTGTACCAACCAGGCTTTTGTTGCTTTCAATCTTATCGGATTGTGGGGTTCAATAAGTTATCTCGATCCTGATCCGTAGAGGCGGATACTCCGACAAGACATCAGGAACTAGAGCACAATAGGACTGGCTTACAGCGGTACCTCCAAAACTGGCCGTTCTT